TGGTATGGTGGCTTCATGGCACTGTGGCACCATGGCATGATGGCACCACGACATGGTGGTGATGTGATATGGTGGCATCATGACATGGTGGCATCGTGGCCACAGTGGTAGGGTGGCACCATGCTACCAAGGGACCATGGCACAACGGCATGGTGGCACCACGGCACAGTGGCCCAGTGGTATGGTGGCACCATGGGATCATGGCACCATGGCACAGTGGCATCACAAGATGGTGGCATCGTGGCACTGTGGCCCAGTGGTATGGTGGCACCGCGACACGGTGGCATTACAGCAGTGTGGCAACATGATATGACGGCACAGTGGCACAACGGTACGGTGGCATCACAGCACTGAGGCACCACGGCACGGTGGCACAGTGGCACTGTGACACAAGAACACAGTGGCACGGTGACAAGGCACCTGTCGTGGCACAGTGTCACTTTGGCATGGCACCGTGACACTGCGATACCACGGCACGGTGACACAGGGGCACGGTGACATTGTGGCACGGTGGCTCCGTGGTGTGGTGGCATCACGGCGCGTCCCAACCCCACCAGGAGCAGCAGAGGGGGCACCGGGAAGAGGTGGTGGCTCCCAGGACGTGCTGTGACAGTTGGGGACAGGTGGCACTGCCCCACGTGGCAGTGGGATGGGGACACAAGCTTGGGCACCCAGAAACCCTCAGCCAAGGGCCCAGCAAAGCCCCGGGTGCCACCTCCATGTCCCCAACCTCGGGGACATCGTGATGGGGCCGTTACCTTTCCTCTCCTTCAGGTACTCAGGATCAACCAGCACCACTCCGTCTGTAAGGGAAGAGCAGAGCCAGCAGGTTGGGGACGTGGCACCAGGGTTGGGGACATGGCACAGAGGTTGGGGACATGGCACAGAGGTTGGGGACAAGCCACAGGGGCTGGGGACATTGCATGGGGGTTGAGGATGCAGCACAGAGTTGGGGACATGGCAAAGGGTTGAGGACAAGGCACAGGATTGGGGACATGCCACTGGTGTTGGGAACGTGGCACCATAGTTGGGGACACAATGTGGGGGTTGGGGGACGTGGCACTGGGGTTGGGGACACAGCACAGGAGTTGGGGACATGACATGAGGGCTGGGGACATGGTACAGAGGTTGGGGACAAGCCACAGGGGCTGGGGACATTGCATGGGGGTTGAGGACACAGCATGGGGTTGGGGACGTGGCACTGGAGTTGGGGACACAATATGGGGCTGGGGACAAAGCACAGGAGTTGGGGACATGGCATAAGGGTTGGGGACATGGCACCAAGGTTGGGGACACAGCACAGGGACTGGGGACATAGCAAAGGGTTGGGGACAGGATATGAGGGTTGGGGACACAGCCCAGAGGTTGGGGACATGGCATAGGGTTGGGGACATGGCACTGGGTTGGGGACACAGCACAGGAGCTGGGCACGTGACACTGGGGTTGGGGACATGGCACTGGGTTGGGGACACAGCACAGGAGCTGGGCACGTGACACTGGGGTTGGGGACATGGCACTGGGGTTGGGGACAAGACATGAGGGCTGGGGACATGGCACCAAGGCTGGGAACACAACACAGGGTTGGGGACAAGTCATAGGTTGGGGACATGGCACAGGGGCTGAGGACACAATATGGGGTTGGGGACATAGCACTGGGATTGCGGACAGAACATGAGGGTTGGGGACACAATATGGGGTTGGGGACACAATATGGGGTTGGGGACACAGCACTGGGATTGGGGACAGGACATGAGGGTTGGGGACACAGTGTGGGGTTGGGGACAGGACATGAGGGTTGGGGACGCAATATGGGGTTGGGGACACAGCATGGGGTTGGGGACGGGACACAAGGCTTGGGGACACAGCATGGGGTTGGGGACACGGCATAGGGTTGGGGACACGGCACTGGGATTGGGGACAGGACATGAGGGTTGGGGACACAGCATAGGGTTGGGGAAGCAATATGGGGTTGGGGACACAACATGGGGTTGGGGACACAGCACTGGGATTGGGGACAGGACATGAGGGTTGGGGACACAGAATAGAGTTGGGGACACAACATGGGGTTGGGGACACAACATGGGGTTGGGGATGGGACATGAGGGTTGGGGACACATAATAGGGTTGGGGACACAACATGGGGTTGGGGACACAATATGGGGTTGGGGACACAGCATGGGGTTGGGGATGGGACATGAGGGTTGGG